ATAACCAACACCTACCCGAATTTGTCGCCAAAAAAAAAGAAGAAAGTAACGAAAGGGTCAAACTGGAACTTTGGGGAAGGAAATGGAACCTTGTTATCAAGGGTTTACCAGGTTCATCTGCGGAGACGCCCAAGGAGTTCCGTACGTTTCTGAAGACCGACCTCAAACTTTCCGGAGAGCACGTCGACTCCATTCTACTCCAAGCGATACATAGGCTCCCATCAGGTGATATCCATTCCAGGAACTTCATTGTGCGTTTCATGTCGCTAATCGACAGAGACATGGTTATGAAGAGAGCGATGGGAAACCTAAAGGCTGGATGCGGTAAGGCCGTAATGACTGACCTCAACCCCGAACTATCAAAACTTCGTGGAGCACTTTTGAAAAAAACGCAGGGAAATGGCCCCTTCTTTGAAAGCAAAAGTCAAACTGGTCTATTTGAAAGATGCCCCATTTCTGGAACTGGTACCCAGAAAATAACTGTCTCACAAACTTGACTCTTACCTGATGACGTGCATGTGTTTACACACACCATTCTAGATTATGCATGTATCCATTATCTGTCTATACATTCCGATGTTAAATTATATATATATATGTACTGCATACACGTGAAGTTTACTCATTCACAAATATGTTAAATTGAATATGGCCTTCATGTCTAGGATAAGTGGCTGACCGACCTTGATGACCTAAAAATACATCCTACGAAGTGAAGTTATGTGCCGAGTAGAACTATTGATAATCTGAGGCTAGTTTTCAACATATGATTCAAGTGCAAACCAATACTTCAACGGTTCTTATAAAATATTATCTCAATATATACTGCGTACGTGACCTGTTAGTCTTGCCTCTTTTAGATTATACTTATTTGCATTATAGAAATAATCATTTTGTGTATAGCACGTACGGGTTCAATTCAATTCCCTATTACCTTGAACAGGTCGGTACCTCTACGAGGTTAACAGGGGAGGTCAGTCGCGCACGCCTACATATGCATGTACGGGTACGGGTTATGAAGCAGAAGCGAAACCAGGGATGCCAGTGTAGGCTGTCGTACGACAAGCTATACGTCGACGAAACCCTCTACAGGCCGCCCCTACAGGGTTCCCGTTAGGAGCGCGCGGAGACTGGACGTTCATTATGCGTACACAGCCGGAATGTAAATAGGAACTTGCATACAAAAATTTGTCAGCGCAGTGGCGGATCCAGAGACCTATCTGGGGGGGTTTACAAATTTCCTGGGGGGTTTCCATGCGGGGAAAAATTGAGGAAAATGGTGAAAAAACATGATTTTTAAAGAAAATTCTCAGGGTGGGGGGGTTTCCTGAAGCCCAAAAAACCCCTCTGGATCCGCCACTGCAGCGTGAATTCGTTGACCAGAGTAGCAGTTATGACTTGATACTACTGTCCGAGTGCTGGAATAAAGTTGAGACGGAACTTGACCTCTCTCTGCTGTCGGACTTTGATGTTAGAGCTTTCCCGCGCTCCAGCGGCTCTGGTGGTGGTTTAGTTGTTCTTTTTCGGAAAGATGTGTCCCAGTTTTTGACTTTCCTCAAATGTGTTGGAGATACTTTGGTTTGGACTAAACTGTCTGGATTGTCCCAGTCAGATTTATATATATGTTTGTCATACATACCCCCAGAAAATAATGTTTATTACAATTTGTATGATATCGATTTATTTACATGTCTTGAAAATGATATCGCTGAATATTCTGCTGTAGGAAATGTTATAGTGACCGGCGACTTGAACAGTCGTATAGGAACCAGATCTGACTTTGTTGCCCATGATGGTATACATGATTCGCTGACTGACAGACTGTCTGACCTGTTCGAGTATGATGCTGACGTCATTATGCCTACCCGACGGTCAGAGGATACGGTTGTTAACACTTTTGGGCGAAGGCTTATCCAATTATGTAAATCCAGTGGAATTCGTGTGTGTAATGGCAGAAAGCCTGATGATGTATCTGGTCGTTTAACATTTTTTAATCATTTAGGCTCAAGTGTCATTGATTATGTACTCATTGACAAATCATGCTTTAAAACTGTAAACAGGTTGAAAGTTTGTGATTTTAATGTATGGTCCGATCATGCACCAGTTGAATTTTGTGT